TTAATAGAACTGGCTCGGGGCAGCGTAGGGCTTATCTCCATAAACAACTGAGGGATTTGCAAGTGCACCTCGTCACCCTGCAAGAATGCAGATCCAGACAGGGCCGATGGGTTTCCGGTGATTTTCTGACATGGCGCTCCGGGGCGGACCGGCATGGACGGTACGGATGCGAAATTTGGTTGCGCTCGGACTGGGTCCCGTGTTGCGACTCTATGGATGCCTGGGTCATTGTATGCTCCACACCGCAGATGCTTATTATCAAAACTCGCGCGGTCTGCCCCCCGCTGTGCATTATCTCTGCTCATGCCCCGCATGCTGATAGGCCAAGCACAGAGATTTCAGCGTTCTGGGGAGGTCTGGGGACACATCTCAGCCATCTTCCCTCCGATGCTACCATCCTGCTAGGCGTTGACGCCAATGCTGACTTCGCAGCCTCCGATGTCGACGACGTCCTTGTCGGTCGTAGGGTTACTCTCCAGGCCCCGAGGCTCGGTGACGACAAGCTTGCCCAACTGAGCAGACAGGCCAGGCTCGTGGCACCAGCCACTTTCACTACCATCCATCACGGTCATGATTGGACCTGGCAACACGCAAGCGGCCTCAGCAAGCGCCTCGACCATTGGCTGGTGTCCGAGGCACAATGCAGAGTCACGTATACAGCGCCCTTCCCTGAATTCGACATTCTGTTGGGCAGGCGTGACCACATGCCTGTGCTTGCTGTTGGCGAGCTCACGTTAGTAGGAAGGCCACAACGCGGTAGCGGAGCCCGCCGCTGCACCCCGCAGGAATGCGCCACATTCGCTGCTCGACTTTGGGACAGCGTAGGGCACTGGAGATCCACATGGGCGCTCTCCCCTACGCAGCAAGTCCAACAACTGTCACATGCGTACAAGAGGTTTCAGGATGGTCTCCCTCGCCGCCCGAGAGCCAAGCCGTCCCAGCCCTACCTCAGCGAGGAAGCATGGCGCCACCTTTGCCAGCTCAAGCAAGTGAGAAGGGAAAAAGCTCTGGCAGTTGTAAGAGCCAAGTTAGCCTGGCTGGGTAGGTGCTTCCGAGCCTGGCGACAACGCCCAGGCGGGGCCCGCAGACTCGAGGTCTGGCGGAGGGTAGCGGGTAGCAGTACTCTCCGGACAAGAGAACCGACTACGATACCGCCTGCACAGGCTCGGCCGGCGTGACAAAATCGCACACATGCAGTCACTCCTGTCTGCTGCGACGGCGTCGTGGCATGTGCATGGTCGTCCAGACCAGGCGCTTCTGCACTTGCGCTGGGCGTCCAGGCGCGCTGCTGACAGACGCAGAGTCCGAGCGGCGGGCGGGTATGATATCCAAGGCGAGCTACGAGAGCAGTTCCGTGGTCAGGAGCACGGAACCGTTGTCACTCCCCAGGCCCTGGCGGACACCCACGCTGCTTGGCAGAGCATTCCTGGCAAGGCCCTTCCTGATGTCGCACCCACTCTCCTGCAAGTAGAACAACTTTGCAGGAAACAGAAACCCGTCAAAGCGCCGGGCCCGGACGGTATTCGCAACGGACTGTGGGCGTCCCAACCCGCCATGGCCGGGCGATGGACGTGGCAGCTGCATCTTAAGCTTGCACTGACTGGTCGCGAGCCTAGCGATTTCAAGCACGCGATCGCCTGTGCGCTGTACAAGAAGGGACCGGCGGCATTACCGGCCAATTACAGGTCCATAGTGTTGCTGAATGGGGTAGCGAAAGTCTGGCATAGCCACCTGCGAAGCACTATCGGCCGCAAGGTTGTCAACGCCTATCAGCCACTCCAATTGGGGGGCAGGCCGGGCATGCATGTTGGCTATGCACTAGCTGCCTTTCGCGTCGCGGTCGGCCTTGCCGCCCAGGCTGGCAGGTCACATATAGCTCTGTTTGTCGATGTGCAGGCAGCTTTCTACGAGGTTGACCGCGAGCTTCTTTTTGGGGAATCCTCTGGAGCAGCGAGAGCGGAAGCTGTGCTGCCGTGGGTGCAGGACCTCCTGGATAGGGGGGCCCTACAAGTCCTGGGACTCGATGAGGCTGAAATAGCCATGCTCCAAGATTGCGTTCGCGGCTCTAGCTGGCTCTTACAGGGAGACCGCCTCCCGGTGCTTGCCGCCCGCGGTAGCCGCCCCGGCGACGGACTTGCTGATGTGCTGTTCGGTGCGGTAATGACCTGCATCATTGCCAGAGTCAACCAAGAACTCGCACTGGCTGGGATCGCACATCACTCCATTGCGATTGTGTGCGCCGACGAGCAAGCTGAACCCTGTGCGATAGCCTGGGCTGATGACCTTGTCCTCCTGGCGGATGTGGACCACGCAGGGGATGTCCCCGAGACAGTGATGCGCATGGGCAACATTGTCCTTCAGATCTTCCGGGCCTTCCGCCTACGGGTCAACACCGGCCCAGGTAAGACAGAGTTCCTCATCGACCCGCGGGGTGCAGGAGCCGACGGGGTGAGGGGAGACATGCTGCAAGGCACTGCCAGCATCCCTATCCTCGACGAGCACGTCCGCATCGCCTCCGAATACAAATACTTGGGAGTGCCCCAGTTACCACGCGACAATGGCCGGCGAGACATTGAGAATGCAGTCGGCCGGGGGCGAGCAGCGGAGCACGCCGCAGGCTCTCTCCTCACAAGGTCTCGGTTGCCCTGGCCAGTCCGTGAAGGTTGGGTGTCAGGTAGAATCCTCCCTGCAGCTTATGCCACCCTAGCCACCTCGCTGGCGCCAGGACCACGCAGCCTCAAGCCACTAGAGGGACTGCTTGACCGCATTCGCAGGAAGATCTGGCAGTCATGGCAGGAGGGGCATCACGCTGCCAACTGTGCCCTTGAGGTCCTCATGCCCTTCCAGTCCCCACGAGAAGCCCTCTTGATCGCTCGATGCAGGCTTCTCATCCAGCTTTGCTGCCATGCACCTTCGCGCGTCTGGGACTTGTTCGAGGCCGCCTATTATCGCGATGCTGCCTGGCCTCAAAGTCTACTGGCCTCTGCTCGGGTTGTCTGGGCAGCAGCTGGCCTAGCCGGGGATGTTGCTTCCGCGCTACGCCGCCAAGTGCAAACCAACGCTGCCACTCTGCTACGCACATGCCGGCGCGTGAGTCGCTTCGGCACGCTCCTACGAGCATGCCACGATCACTGGCGGCAAGCGCTCCCTGCGACACCTCATGAAGCCGACCGCCTACCAGCACCGGCTCCTGCGTCCTTCCCTTGTCGAGTGTGTCACCACCAAAGCAAAACAAAGCATGCCTTGGCGGTACAATGCATCGCTCCCATGGTGTGGTTTCGCACAGCATGCAGTATATCGTCGACACCACTTGCAGGTGGTGCCTCAAAGACTTTCACTCCACCACCCGGCTTCGATACCATATTGAGCACACTTCGATGTGCAGATATGGGTTGCAGCACGTTGTGGGGCCTATCTACCAGGTCGGCGTTGCCACCAAGCGGAAGGGTGCGTTGGGTCACCTGCGCGTTCCTCCACTACAAACACAGGGCCCCAGGCTGCCCACCCCTGCTGAGCGACGAGCGTCCGAACGTGACGCATATGCTACGGCAGAGGACTTGAGGCAGGAAAGGGAGGACTGGGAGGCGGCGGAGCGCCAGCAGGCGGCCCAGGACCGGCTTGGGCCAGCTGTTCTTGAGGTGCACCGACAGGCTGCTGCCGACCACATCCCACCCCTGCTGCCGAGAGACCCTGCCGCCGGGGGGCCAAGCGGGGGCGCGCAATCTGTCCACACCGCTGCCGGGGACAGCCCAGATAGGTGGTCTGTATGGCGAACTTTGGTGGAGGACGTCACCGCGCCGTCCCCCCTATGGTCTGGCCTGGAAAAGGACTGCTTGTGGCATATCCGGCTGGATTGGTGCCCGTACTGGCATATTTGGGCATGCTGCGCGCACACTGCTTGGCACACTCGCGCTTTCTGGGATGCTGCCCGCTCCTTGCGGACTGAAGTTCTGGGACCGGGGCCTGTCCTTATCTCTGAGAAGATACGCAGCCACGGCAAGCGCGATGAGTGCACCTCAGCCAGACAGGCATATCTTCGGCACACGAACTCCCTCATGCGCTTGACCGAGTGCATTGGCGACAGAGGCGCCATGTGGTGGGCCGGCGATCTCACGCAGGCTGTACGTACTGTCATGAACGCCGTTGCCCCGGGCCTGTCCCTTCTCGCCGTCATGGTTGGGGGAAGAAAGTATGTGCTGGTGTCTAGACGGCAGCATGCCGCCCTCTCCTTTAGGGATGCTGTGGCAGCCGGCCTCCTGGCGAACACCGCTGGTCGAGTGCAACTTGCTGCCCTACACCACTGCGCGTCGCGCTGAACAGGTTGTGGTGTTTGCGTTTTCTGTCTCACTTTGTTGAAGGCTGCGTCACCATAGCGGTGCGCTTTTGGCCTGCACGGGTTTGACTCACGACCCCAGTGCCGAGGAAGGAAGGAAGGAAGGTTTACAGGGCTTGGGGTTCAGGATTTCTCACAGCATCTCACGGTTCTCAATCGATTTCCTTGTGGTTTGTGGCCATGTCTCTTTCGATTGAGAGGGAAATGGAATTCTAGAGTGTTTCTGGGAGGGAAGTCCGGGTACGCTGGGGCTTGGGGGTCTCTGACGTGTTTGTTCCAGACAAGGCCTTGTTAGGACTGCATTTCCAACGGATGGGCAAAGCTTGGCTGCTGTGTTGTGGGCTCGATCTTTATTCCAGCACGGAAAGACAGAATTCTACAATGGATCGGCCCTCGTCAAAAGCAGGTATAGGAGAGTTCAGGCCTCGGCGGGCTGCGTTTGGAGGCTGTTGCGGAAGCTTAAGGGGCAGGGGCCAGGGCACAATTCAAAGCTTCTTCAGTCTGACCGCGCACGCCCGAGCCTGGAACATTGTTTCGCCAGCAGACTGAATGTGAAGCGAAAAGCGTCGGGATGGATGCAAGAGAACACAGGTGCCAGCCCCGAGTAGCTAAAGCTAAAGCTGCTAGGTTCTCGGATTGCTTCTGGACTCTGGTTGGTCCCACGGAGGCTGCCATCGAAGTAGCGGATGCCTCGGAGCGCGCCACCGCCGTGGCGATGCTGCAGGCCCGCCGAAGGTTTCTGTTCAGGTATTGTGGTCAAGATGGAGCGGCAGCCTGAAGGATGTTTATGCATGAGGAAGGATCCCCTAGAAGATCTCCTGACCTGCGTCCTATGGACTCAGACCCAGCGAGCCTCAAGTCTGCTCAAACACCCCTAAACATTCCGAAGCCTCCTGCCCGAAGCCTGAATCCCTTGGGCTTTAAACTCAGGATGCACTGAGCCCCTCGAGTCGTGCAAGCCCCAGAAACAGGGGTTGCGGGGTTTCGGTCCTTTGCATCTCGGGAGGATGCATTGGGCTTTAGAGTTTCGGACTCTTGAGACGTCCGGGCTCTGTAGGGTATGCAGGAGTTAGGGCTTGGTTTCGGGCTTGAGGGTCTAGCAGCTTAGTGGAGCGTTGCACGGCTTCAGCCGGCTTGCTTCACGGATTTTACTTGGGAAGTTCAGCTGCAGAAGTCTAAGGCGTCTATAAGGTCTAGATGGGAGGCACTCCACAGGACTTGCTTTGCTTTGCTGAACCGACTGCTCAGACCCCATAGGGTTCAGCAGGTCTCATGCCTGGGCTTCCCTAAAGTCCAGGTTCTGTGAGCCTTTGCTGCATAGTCTGCCCAAAAAAGTTGCCTACGGCCTGGTGCACGCCGACTGGACCTGAATCTGCAGGGGATTCGGGCTTGCTGAACGCCCTCTCTCTTCATTATCGTGTACATCGCACATGTGTGGGAAGACTCACTGGGTCAGGAACAGGTGTTATTTCTGCAGTCTTTCAAGCCTGCAGCCTTCAGGGGTTCTTGAATCGTCGCTTCAGGTGTCGACTTTCCGAGGGTCACGGAAATCTGCCAGCGCGTCGCAGATCGACCTGATGAGGTGCAGCAGTAAGCCTAAACTGCGAGGCTAGTGAAAACTCGGTTTCCGCAGGTTCCTGCGTATTCAACACAATGTATCTGGTTCTGAAGAGGGAGTTCTGGAAGTACAGTAGGATCCCTGCGTAATGAAGTGATTCTCCGAATGAGTTAGCAGGTATCCATTTGCCTGCTCATTCGCTGTTACTCCCTGAACTGGGAAGGTATCTTAGAAACTTACAGTTTCACCCTGAATACTTCCGCGACCTTCGGTCTGGTTATCGCTGTGCCTGACGAGGCCGCGCCAAGCGCCGCCATGCTTTGGGCAGCGATGTCCTCATCTTCGGCCTCGGACCCTTAGAGCAGCCGAGCCCGTAGTCTAGGGGGTTTGGGTTAGAGGGTTCAGAGGGTTTAGAGGGTTTAGAGGGTTTAGAGGGTTTCGAGGGTTTAGAGGGTTTAGAGGGTTTAGAGGGTTTAGAGGGTTTAGGGCGCACCCCTAAATACCCAAAGCCTAGCGGCCCCTTCCTGGGCCATTCAGCTCAGACGTCCTGCGGAGGAGGACAGCGAGTCGCCCAAGAGGCAGCTAAAGGCACAGGGGTCAAGTTGGGGTTCAGCGTTTAGTTTAGGGCTCAGGGAACAGTTGAGGGTTTAGGGTCTGGGTTTGAGGGGGTACAGTTTGGGGTTTACAGGGAGCTCTTCATGCAAGGCACTTCAGGTTTCGGGGATGTTGTGAGCAGTCATCGGGCCTGTGGAGCTTGCGTCCTCAACCCTACTTATAAGCTTGATGTAGGGGTTTTCTTTCGTTCAAGGGACCAGATTTCTGGATCTTGGCCTCGAGGCGCTGGAGACCTAAAATCAATTCGGCCTCCGGGCGCAATCCAGTTGCCTGGCATTGAGACGATCAAAAGGAAGACTTGCGCTGCGACATTCCCTCTACGAAGGATCCCCAGCTCCCGAAGCTGAAAAGCCGCAGGCCCTCACCATCGCTCACGAGCTGCTCTATGACGAACGTGTCCTTTCCGCCTTTGCTGCACTGGAGACCGCGCCTTTACGAGGCCTCAAGATTTACTAGGTCTCTGGCACCGCCGCTTCTCCGCCTTGAGTTTGCAAACAGCGGAGCGTGTTGTCTACTCATGCGTATCCAGGGCGTAGACGCAGCTTCTGATTTTGTGCTCACAGCAGCGGGGAGCACCGGCAAGGTCTCGAAACTCTGGCTCCTGGTTCCATTCTCGGCAAGCCCGCCGAGGACGCTCATCATGCTGCTGCGTAGACTCAAAGCAATCATCCGGCATAGTTGCAAATTGAGCCGTTCAGCATGAGGCGGAGAAAATTCCTGAGCTTTAAGACATCCTACTGGTTCTTACGGGCTCCATGTGGTGCTTGCTGGTTTTGTGGGCGGCCAAGTTATCCAAATTGCTTGGAGTTGTCGTCTCGGCTCTGCAGAGGAGGCAGTGAGAATGCTCGCTGCAGAGGTCCGTCGTCGTGTGGAGGTGGGTTGCGGCATGTTGCGGCTATGTGCATCAAAGGAGAAGCTCCAAAGCACCCTTTTACCCTTGCACAGTACCCCGCTGTGAAGAGCCTCCATGGCCTTGATCCGTTAGGGTAGTCATCAGCAAGGAACTGCTTCCAAATGCCTATGGCTGAGTACCCAGAAGCTGTTTCGGCATAGTTGGAGTACGACTCGAAGCTCTGGAATCCAAACTCCGTTTCGTCCGATCGTCTCGAAGCCGCTTCTTCGGAGGAGAAGCAAGACACGGTTGCGCGCAGCTCCAGGCCCATCTCATGACTTTGTCCGACGCTGCGCGATCTATTTGAAGATTCGATTGGATGAAGGGGCAGACAATTTGAGATGCGTGTGACCGCATACTTGCGAGTAGGAACCTACGAGCAGCCTGCTCCATACGCTCAGGGGCTTTCCCTCCGCAGCACCAGCCATCAAAGCTCCAGATTTTGAGCCTTACTCCGACTACGTGTGTAATATGATGGACACGTTCTGCGCCACCACTAAACCCCAGAGTCCCCAGTGTTAGGTCCTACCGAAGGATCCCACAACGTCGAATTCCTTTGACATCCGATTCCCTTCGAGGCGCCGTGCCACTTGGAGCTTCCCCTCACTGCGCCGCGCGCGCTCAGGCGCTGCCACAATTTGGGGACTTCCGTGGGCATTGAGAACTCTCCCCCATTGAGAACTCTCCCCCCTTGGCCCAAATCATCATTACTTAGGGGCCTAAAGTCGCGACAAGGAGCTGCCGAGTCCTCACCAACCCAGCAGCCACGGCTCCAGCCGGGAGCTCTGACAGGGCATTTCACTTCTCCAGAGTAAAGACCTGCATGTGTTGTCCTGATCTCCGCTGTCCACCGAGGCTGTCAAAATCGGCGCCACTGGAGGACCTGCTGAGGGTTGTTGAAGGAGTTTGAAGGGATGTTCGTGCGGCATCTGATGGCATCGGCACCCTCAACCCCTTTCCTCCTTTGAGGCCTCGACTTGCATCCCCCCCCCCTTGGCCCCCCCCCTTGGCCCCCCTTGGCCCCCCCTAAACCTTCAGAGGCAAGGCAGGAGCCCGACCTCCTGGAAGGGCCCGAGGCCGGGAGCCTGATGAGCCATTCAAGTTCGCACGTCTCCCCAGGTTTTGAGCTTTGGATCCCCCCAAAAATGGGAACCTTGGAACACCCCGAAACCGCGCAATCCAACGGGAAATCCCAACACCCTTCCTTCCGGCAAGCCTTGCAAGCTTCTCGGCACCGCAACCCCCAAAGAATCAACTCCCCAAGGTCATGCCAGACGCTTGTAGCTCCCAAACCCTGAAAGTCTCAATTCCAGGAAACGACCTTTTACAAGCTACCTATCTAAAGCGGTACCCGAATTTGAAAATGAGAGCCGCCCCCCAGCTTCCGCTAGCTGGATTCAAGTCTATAGGCATAAACTTCGAGCCCTAAACCCAGGGGGGGCGGGTCTTCCCCAGAGGCCCTGCTCCGGCAACTCCGGCGATGGGGCTCATGGTACCACATCCGTGGGGAGCAGGACTCCATGGTTCAGAGGTTGCATGAGACTGGCTTTACATTACTGAAGTTGGTGAGTGTATATAGGTTGGTTCGTGTTGGCCGTCCGTTTGGTCATACTAGTAGTAGAAACACACTACTTCACATGCCGGGCTGATCGAATTTCGGGGGTCCTCTGATGTATCTTTCATAGCAATGCTCCTTGTAGTTTTGGGTACCAAGCCATTCTGTATCAACTTCATGGTTGCTTTGGTATTTCAGGGTCGCGGGTCGTTAGGTGAGGGAGATTGGGTCACAGGCAATGCTCGGGCTTGCCAGGTCTCTGCGAGACAGCCTGCATTCTCGGTTCTAGATCTAGCAATCGGGTCCCTGCTTTGTGTACGAGCACATTCATTGAATGCACGTACCTCCAATGCTCAAAGGCTAACGCTTACGTACACCTGCCAGAGCAGGAGAAGCAGATCCTTGGAGAGCTGCGACAGCGCTTTCTTTCTCTCCTGAATGGCCTGGCGCGCGTGGCAGAGGACGGGCTTGTGTTTTCAATCAATCTGGCTGCGATGAAGCTGCAAACACCCTCAGCACATTAAGACGAACACGCTTGCTGCAAACCCATCCCAACCCATGCCGAGGAGCTGGACTGCCTCGACGACGGCTCGTCAGGCAGCACATGGTCACTGTCGGCTTCAGGGCAATGAGATGGTCTTGCGTTCTTGCGTTCCAGGGCTTCAGGCTTGAGAGAAGGCAGCGGCTGACAGTGCTGACAGTGCCTTGATGTGCTTTGTGTGCCATCTTTGAAGGCCTACCTTCGCTGCTTGGGGCTTAAGGCTTCAGGGGTATGGACAGGGAATGGACTATAATGGATGATCAACAAACCATCACACGTCGTGGCCTGTATCCTAAACCCAAAACGAATTGCAGAGGTCGAGGGCCCGAACAATGAACGCCAAACCCGAAGCCTTTTGCGCAGGGATCGACCTCCGCGCGGTCGTCGCCCAGCTGCAACCTTTTATGCTGTCGGCCTCTGACTTGCAGGCTATTGGGCCTGGGGAGGGGGTTTGGGGGGGTTGGGGTTAAGGGTTTAGGGTTTGGGTTTCCAAGGGGTCCGGCATTCAGCGGGTACAGACAGAGCTGTTTAGAAAGGTCCCCGAAGACCCTAAGGTGCCCCGCCCCCCTTCAATGGCCTTTAGCAAACCTAGAAGGACTGAAGGACTTGCGCACAAGAGACTGCTGGGCAGGCCCGGGCCTGCGCCTGGTGTCAGGCCACCTCGTGCAAAACGGGGGGTTCGAGTGCTTTTGGGGGGGCAAGCTGGCGATTCCTTCAGAGATTTCGGGCTCAAAAAGTGTCACGACGCTCCAATGCATGAGCCTAATTGCCCTTAACAGTAATAGTAGCAGAGATAGTGGTCAAAATCGTAAGAATAGTCATCATGATGAGTAGTAGTAATAACAAGGATGCTCACTCTGTGGGGTGTTTTCCGCTCGGCGTAGGCCCTGGACGCCTCGCAGCAGGGTTGCGGGGCGAGCTCACCAGGCCCGGCACACAGCCCGCATGCCCTGAAGCTTCTCCCTTAAGGGGGTTGGGGGGGGGGTATAAATTCTTGAAACCCTGAAGGCCCTAAGGCCATGAATCCCCCCCAAACTCCTGAAGCCAAAGGTGCCGGAAGTTGCTTCTGCAACTTGGACTCCTGGAAGCCCACACTTTGGGAACCAGCTTCTTTTTGGGATGTGGATCTTCTGGGATGTGGATTTGACGCCAGAGCCTTGCTTCCCCTGCTTCTCTGCGAACATGAAGCCTGAAGCCCAATTAATCTCTTCCCGTCAATCCGATGCTGTCGCAGTTGCCACTTCACCACTCTCTGCTGGCTCCTCTGTGGACGTCGAGGTGCGGAATCCGAAGCCCCATGGACCTCACAGGGCTCGTGAAATGCTGTTTTGGGCCATTTTGGGCTGAGACCTGAAGCCTGGTAACTTGGAACATCATGGCGCTGGCTTTTTCCTGAAGTCTCCGGAATCCTCAAAGAAGGTGCCGGCGGTAGAACCAGAGCATCTGGCCGACTTTTTGGAAGAGGTGCGATGGACTGCGTGTGCTCGTGGCAATGACGTCACACCACCAAAGCTCAGCTTGCCCACTCAAGTCGTCGAAGAGCAGCCGGCCTCAAAGCCACTAAACCTTCACAGTCTAAACCCTGATGCCCTCAACATACCCATAAGGCCCAAAATTTTTGTATCTGGTATTCATAAAATTGTTTGATTATTATTTTAGATAATACCTTAAGGCCTGTTGGGAAGGCTCTGGCTGCGTTCGCCTCCTTGTCGCGTCGGCTCCGGGGCTGCGCAGCGCTGCGCCGGGAGGCGCCGCCGAGTGCTCCAAAAGCAGCAACGGTATATATAAAGCAGCTGAAGGGGCGTAGAGAGGTAAATTGGTAAGGTTTGAAGAGCAGCGCATCTAGGTCGGTTGCGCAGCGGCTGCTTGCTTATCGTAGATCTGTTGTTTGTATATGATCTTTACATACTCGAGCAGAGGCAGGGGTCGGGAGACAAGCAGGCACAAGGCAGGCTGGCACCCTAAGCTCCAAACACCGGAGAAGGTGCCATTTCTTGCAGGCAAAAGTGCCTTCCAACGCCCTCCAGGACCCAGAAAACCACCACAGCGGTGTGTGGAAGATGTGGTACTGTATAGTTTGGAATGCTGGATGAATCGAATTGAAATATGAACGAGCATCTACTGCAGTTCTGTAACAAGTTCTGCATCCTGCCATGTTGAGGGGCGAGGTGTTGAGAGACAACAACGCAAAAGCCCAGATCGGCCCTTGAGGCGGTTAGGGGTTGGGCTGCGCAGCTTGGGAGGCATTGGCAAAGTGGGGAGGTGTCTGCTTATTCAAGGGCCTGAGCACAAAACCCCCTAGACCTGCCTGTCCGGCAGGTGGTGGAGCAGGCAAAGGCCAGGATCGAGGCGACATCCCGTCTCGGTCTCATGAAACTCATGGGTTACCCTCACTCGAGGCCCGAGGATCCTCCTCAAGATTCCCAGATGATGTGCCCCCCCCGCAAGCCAGAGTCGCAGAGAACAAAAACTGGGGAGGAGGCGGCCTCAACTCTGCTTTCTTGCCAGGCTGGCCCCATCCATGCCTTCGAGGTGGGCCCAGCTTCGAGTACGGCATTGCGGGGCGTGTGAAGGGTGGCTAAGGGTTGCAGGGTTCATGGGCTTCAGCTTGGGCTTGGGGGGTTCTGGGCTTGGGGCTTCAAGGTTTCGGGGAAGGGGGGGAGGAGGGAAACAAGTTCATCTCCTTAAGTCAGGGGAAGGGCAGGCTCCCTGAAAGACGCCTTGTTACTGCCCGCACCGCCCATGAAGCGATGTGTTAAGGCCCCACCTTCCGGCTTTCATGAATGAAGACACTCTGTTACAAATCCTTCTGGTTGTCATCGGGCAACATCCACTCGACACCACCAAGCCAGAATCGCCAAGCCAGAATCGGACCACCCTACTCATGAAGGTCCGACGCAAGAAAGGTGATAGGATGAATCTTGACTTCTGCAGGGCGAAGTCCCTCGGAACACGCGGCGCGAAATCCTCCCCAACCCCCGGCACCCCGCCTGTCTCCCGGGGTTCGGGGTTCAGAGTATAAGAAGGCTTCGGGCTTCAGAGTTCAAGGCTTGACAAGGCTTAGACTTGGCTTAGAACTTATGAGAAGGAAGGACGTCAGTTCATAACAGGGTTGTTTGCTCACACAGTAGGGACCCGTTTCAATGTCCCTGTTGTAGTGAGCAGAGTTCAGATTCTGTGGCGAGCATTAGGAATCTAGGTCGGCTCCCCCCTAGGTTCTCCCAAAGGGAGATGCACGCTCAAGCGGCTGGTCGTGATGACAAGGCCAGGAGTTGAGTCTGGCATCTGGCTGTACTGTTCATTTCGGTAGCAGACTGGTGCATTTCATGCCATATGCTGCCCCCTTATTAGACTCGGGCCAAGCCTTGCTTCTTTCCCCTCTCGACCTCTCGATGCCGTGACAAGAATGTGTGTACCTTTGTGCCACGGACAGGTACAGAAGCGGTGTGCGACGTCGCCGGAACCATGAGTGCCCTTCAGCATAGTTCAGCATAGTTCAGGCCCCGTCATTCCGCAGGTCCTTGTAAGGAGACCCATAGCACATAAATGGAATCACCTCAAGCTCCCGGAAGCTGGACACTGTCACTGCCTTACAGAGCTCGCGGGCAGCTTGTCGGGGTGGGCCAGCCGAGGTGAGCTGCTGAACTGAAGTAAGTGCAAGTAAGTGCAACACCAAGCTCAAATCAACACGCATAATCAAGACCAAACGAGGGAATCCACACGAGGTTGGAGATAGGAGGAGAGCTGGTTATGCGCTTATGGCTCCGGCTCAGCCGACCCATTTCTGCCGCCGCCACCCGACGATGCACGAGTGGCGCATTTAAATTTGCCGCTAGCATGCCCGAGGGCGTTCCAAAGTCTTGGGAAAACGTGTGTTTTTCTTGTCTCACATTTGTGTGCCTTTACCTTGTTTAGATGGCGTGGACGGTTCGCAGGGCCTGAAGCGAAAGCTCAGAGGCCGAAACCCTTCGAAGCATTGGCATTGTTCAATACCATAACGTAAAGTATTCAGTACCATAAAGTAGCAAGTACTTCGAAAATGGTCTACACATTTCGTAATGGTGAGCCATTCGTGCAAAACTGATTCTCGATTCAGGTGAGTGCCTCAAGAACCCGAAATGCACCAAAATGCGGAAACCATCGCCCAGATATTGTTGTCGGCGGGATCTACACAACTGGCCCAGGGTATGCTGTCTGGTGCTTGAACCCTCTTGGGGTGAAGCCTGATGAAGCTAGCGATGACTGGCTTTAGCATTGAGAAGTGCCCAGAGCCCGACGCTGCACATTTGAAGCATCCTCATGCCAAAGTCAGCTTGATAAGCTCTTGCAGCCCTTGGGCCGTAAGACCCACAGGCCCAGATCAACATGCCTCCAAGCCACACAGGATCAGCAGTGCAGGACACTTCGCCTATGCACCGTGATGGAAATCAAACCCAATTGGCACCTCTGCCGCGTGCATGCTTCAGGACTCACCTGGTTGGCAAGGAGTATCGCCAGCTACCAGCTACCAGAAGATTGACTTGAGTGTCAGAGCTAACCTGGTAGAGGGACGTGTGCTGCAGAAGCTGCCATGAGTTACAAGACCCCCAATTCCCCCCCCCCCCCCGCCCAAAAAAAAGAAAAGCCACCCCCCCCATCCCGTCATACTGTAGAGGACCGTAGCACTGATTGAGTCCAGAGACTTTCCTCTCACGCCAGCTTCTGCGCACAGGAGCCAAACGAACGCTTGTGGCTTGCTTTGGGCAGGATCTTTTTGGATGCTTCCGGCAAGCCAATTTTCGGAACAGTGTGGCTCCTAATCCTGAGAACCATAGAAATCCAGAGCAGCAGTAGCCCTCAACCGCCATGAGTTCCCTCCTCCAAGCAGTCCACAGCCTGGGTTTGGTAATTTCTGAACCTACAGAAGCCGGTGCTCATGTACTGGTTGGTGACATGCCTGTTCCGTACTCGGCAGAGCTGCTAAGCGGCTACGCCCGAGCCGAAGTCTGCACAGGTCTGTGCCGCTTCTGCCGAACTGTTGCAACATCGGGGTTGCCTTGTAAGACCTTGTAAGACCCTAGCCGCGCTGCTCCAACCTGGGGACAGAGACCATCATACATTCAGAGCAAAACCGAAGCTCCACGATGCCTAAGCCCGAAGCCCTAGATTGGAAGGCCTCCCCCCGACTTCCGTGGGAATCTCAACTGTTTATACTGTTTGGTCCGGAACGCCCCGTCTGCAGGGCCACCCATGGAGCGATCAGCGTCTCTTCGATAGCCTTCTACTATACTGAACTATATTATCATAGGATTATCTTTGAATTATGTTCTTCTTTTGTATGACATTTACAGGTCACAGCATTGCAACCTTCAAGTACGTTGTTATTCTGGGTCCATGCTTCATGTTCAATTGTTTGATTATCAGGCTATGTGAGCCATCTTAGTTGTGAAATGTCGTAAGGGTATTCGAAAGGCCAGGCTGTCAGAGGCTGCGCAACAGCAACCTTGACATTGGTTTGGCCCTTTCAGACGGGTGCCCTTGTCCAAGTCGAGAAGACCGGAAAAGCCCCGACGCACATTCCCTCTGCCGCTGCTGACCAAGAGCCCTAAGCTGGTTCTGAAGTAGGCATTAGTGTTGTTATCACCATTGTTATTGTTATTATTCTCATTAATAAACAATCTGTATATATGTGCATTATTTTTATTTATGTATGACAGTATATCCTTTTTCAAGTTTCGATGTATTCTCGACTGTTCATCTAATCTGACCGGATATTCTGATTGCAGCAAAAGTGACGTATGTGAGATATCGAGCTGAGGGCAGCAGCGGCGAGGCTGTATCGCAAGAAAGGAAAAGCACGGGGCAAAACAGAGAGCGCATGCTGACCACTGATCCCCTGATAACCATTTGCCAGCACCCCTGTGCCTGGGGTCGTTCATTTATCCTCCCCTCAAGCTTGCAGGGAGTGCAAGGGTGACTGCAGATTCATGCTGTATGGCGCTGTGTGGGCTAAGTTTTTGGGCATCCCTTTTCGTGGGATACCCATGCCTCCAAGGGCAGGATACTCAGAGCGATGCCGGAAGCGTCCCAGACTTGGAAGTGCAGGCTTTGTCACTGCTGGCGGCGGCGACCGAACGTGATGTGGTGCCAAGCTCAGCCAAGGCTTAGGACCTTGTCTCCCTTTGACTGGAAGCATGCCACTCCCAAACCTGAAGCAGCCGAAGCCCCAATAGATCTTGTCTTGGAGGGTGGCAGCAGCCGGGTTGGCCATCAAACGCTGACACGAGTAGATCCTGCCAACTCCGTAAACCTGCCGGAGAGGTAGGCTCCAACAGCCAGAAAACCCTGTAGGAGCTCACCTTAGACGTTGGCCTTGCCTCGCTCTTGCCTTCCGGCTCCAGGGCGTTGCGTTGACTCTCGGTCATTTTAGGCATGTCAGGAACAGGTCAAAAGCCCTTGATGCTTGGTTCCCTTGTCCTGACTGTACACTAGCTCAGCCCGTGTCTCAGCCATGTGGATTGGAGGCCGGAAAGGACGGATAGGCGGGGGTGCATGTGCTTCGCAGCACGACTGCACTCCGAACGCATCATTGTGTGACAACAGGTCTGCAGGGTGGCAGTCCTGGCAATGCCTGGCCCTTGCGGGGGTCTGCTGTTGGGGGTTTTAAGTGTCGCGGCAGGTAACGAGGTAAGGCGACGCCCGCAATCAGGTTGCGCGTGGTTGAATATGTGCAGGAACCTTGCTGCATCTTGCTAATTCGTTGGGCTCACAGAACCAAGTGGTGCTTCAGAATATTTTGCGCGATTCACCAGGTCTGATTGCAGAGAGCCATCGATTTCACTAGGGTTTACAGCGCTCATAGTCCTTGGCAATCTCACAGCCCTTGTTAGTTTGGACTGTGCTATCTTGATCAGCGTTTAGGATCGCCTTAGCGCCAGACCCTCAAACGCTTGAGGTCCGCGCACACTCCGGAGATCTGCCCATCGCACCTGAGTCCCTGGGAGCAGGGCCTGGGCGAAAGAATCTTTACGCGTGGGCCTCGAAGGGGTAAATGAGAGTACGGGGCTTCGTCTATTCTAGGAACCGTGTGTTTCGGGCTCTTTGAAGGCAGCTTTATCTTTCGCTTTAGCGGAGCAAGTCTACGAGAACTCCAGGAATACGCGTTGGCCAAAAGGCTTTGGACCGATGTTTAGGTGGGAACTGGAAACGCCCAAAGGTCATGCAGGTGTACATCGTGGTTGTTGGGCTTGGGTTGAGGGTGTCAGTGCAGTGTCCTCAATCCTCAGCCATAATTGCATACAACCGAATTTTAAGCGGACTTAACAAACGAGGCAATGCTGCTGAAGGGTGCCGGTGAAGGCCGAGGGCTTGTGATTGTTTAGGGTTTCGGGATGCAGGTTATACGTAGGATCCAGGGCTCAGGGTTGTCACGGGTTTCTGCGACTCTTCGCTGGCCTTCGGAAGGTCCCGAAGGTAGAAATGCCGAAGGAAGTCCTTGAGAACTCTCTGACAACCAGCAGCATGCACAGCCCGTCGGTTGCGGTGGGCATTTGCATAGCAAGGAAAGGAGTCTCCACAGGGTAGCCTGCAGCCACAAGGATTCGTAGCCTTTCACTTGTCGTATCTTCGCAAAGAGAACTATGACATGCAAGTTTGAAGTTCCAACGCAGTCCAGTTTACTCAGCTCAGCTTACGATCGCTTGAGACTTAGGGTTTTGGAATTGTGGATGGTGCCTCCGGCGACTTGGCCGGCCAAAGCATGGTTGCACGGCCTCCCCATTTCGGAGATTCACTCGCTCGCGCACACGCACCTCACTAGCGATCAAACCTAGAAGACTTGTCATGCATGCATACAGACACATAAACAATATTAAACCATCGCATGCATGTACATGGGCTATCCGACCCTTCAAATTGTTTTCCATCAGTCTGCACAATGACAAGACGACGCAGGTGTTGCAGGAGCCCATTTGGAAGTGTTACTTGGCAGCATGTTGCGCGTGCGGCTGTTTATAGGGATCTTGGCGCACGGTATATCAAACAGCTAACAAGCCTCTTAAACCCGCCCGGGATGAGCATGGCAGCAGTATGGAGCTTCCATTCCAAGGGACTCAGAGGGACAAGTTCCAAACAAAAATCCTGTCAATCGTCCCCGAAGGCAACGCCTTCACAAGTACCCAACATGAGCTTGCTGTAGAAAATTCCGTGGGAGCCTTACTGACCCCCAGAACTCCCAAGCCGCAGTTCCCAGCAAAGGGCAAATACTCACCAAAAGCCCTTACAAGCTAAGCCCTAAAACGCCATAAAGCCCTGCAATCTAAAGACCCCCGAGAACCTCGCAGCTGAAGCCTCATAGGAAACCTGGAGCTTGGAAAAGCGCCTCCAATTTCGTGGGCCAGCAAAGCGCAGGACCCAAACATTTGAGGGTTCAAGGGTTTGGGGCCATAGGGGGCTTTTCGGGCTGTTTCAGGGTTTCAGGCTTTTGGTTGAAGGCTTTTTTTGTTTCTTATTTTTAGTTCTGGATTGAGTATGGGGACCTTTACAATGGGCCACATTTTGTTCATGGGGTCGCATCGGCTTGACAAGACCTTTGGGCGCAGGAGGTATAAGCGCAGGTTCGGTTTCGCATGATGGGAGCGCTCAACTAAGCTGAGTTTTCTGTTGCCGTGCTGACCTTGTCGGCCTTCTTGTTGATGTGATCCATGATTGTGCTGTCAATACGTCCTCCAACGTCCCAAACTCTCATCCGTCTTCTGCAGAGACCGACAAGCCCCCGTAGCCCCTACTCAAACCTTACAGAATCTTAGCCTGAGTTCTCAAGCACAACCCTAGCACAAACCATCCAAAAAACAACCGCAGACTTGCCACCCTCCAAATCTCAACCAAGTGCTCCGCAAGGAGTGCAGCCTCCACGCGCACCACCTCCGGACTTCCCGCTTGGGGCCTGGGTGGGGGGGGTGGGGGGTGGTGGGGGTGGGTGTCGGGGGGGGGGGTAGCGGGTAGGGGGGAGGCGGGAGGCATCCCAGAGCAACCCCACAAGGCCCCGAGAAGGCCCAAACTCCGTAGAGCCCCCGAATGTAGGTTTGTAGGCCTTTGGGGGCTTATGAGTTGCTTTTCGAACTGAGGCCCTGGGTGCACATCGACTCGCATCTTTGCTACAAGGTGGAGTTTGCACACCAGGAACATTCTTGGGGGCTCCACGGTCAACACGGGGTTCCTGGACACCCCCGTGGCATCCCGAGACCTCTCGAGAAATGTCAAAAAATTGCTCAAGCACGTTTCCAGCACGGACCTTGTATGGTAGGTGTACTCCCTCTGGCAGCGACAGATCTCACAAGCCTGCACTGCAGTGGCCACATGTTGGGCTCCTGTCAGGCTTCGTCCGGAAAAACCTTGGAGGTCATCGTGAAAGACATATCGGTGGAAAAGGGCAGTGCCGAAGCTGAGATTGTCCCAGTGCTGACGACCATCAGTCGTACTCTGGTGTCTTTACCACATTTTGTGGGCCTCAGTCGAAGCACCTCGTATGAGGGTTGTGGGGCATCGTGAAGGATTCGAATCGGGCGTATTGGGTGAACCCGTCATTGAGCAGTAGGCCTCCACGCTATTTGGGAGTTACGCTCAGGGCTTAACGTGACCTGAGGCGTGAAGATTGTGTTTGCGGACAATGAAAAGATTTGGAAGACCATCCCGATCAGCACCATCACCAGTAAGGACGGGACCCGTTGGGGGAGTCCTTTGAGGATGTTCGGTCCGACGACCCGCTCAGTCCTCTAACGCCACCAAGGAAGAGAAAACAAGCACGGCTACTAAGATCTACTAAGGCTAAGGCTTAAGTTGAATGCAAAAGCCCCAGAAGCCCTAAACCTCAAGCCCCCATGAACCACTTGAACCCTCAAACCTTCAAACCCTCAACCCCAAACCCTAAAACCCTCAACCACCAAGCATGGGCTTCCTGTCTCATTGGGTTCAAAAAGGACAACCCTCTGCTCGGCCAGTGGGGTGCGGAACGGGAGCGGAGTCGCAGCCCAGTGCGCTGAGGCCACGAAGTCGTACCTGACAAGCACTCCAAGAAAGGATATAGTGGGGCGGAGTTGTTCGGGACTGCAGGGTTTGACATTGGAGCTGTCTGTATCCGGCGTTTCGGATGCTGGAGCTAATGGGGAAATAGGTTGTTTTGGGGTATGACGAGCGTCAACATCTGAGGCCCTCTTGTGACATAACGCGTGCGTTTCTAAGGGGATGCCATGTAGGTCCTTGCTGCTTCTTTCGTCTGCCTTGTTTGCTGCCGGGGTTCCTGGCTGGGTCAGGGCACAGCAACTAGATTCTCCTTGGGCCGAACTGGGCATCCCAAGCTGAGCACATTGATGGGAGAAGGCCAAGTTGGGGTCCAAGAGCCCACAAGCCAGAAGCCCCTTAGGAGTTTGAGCATTGCTGCACACCGCTTCCCAATCCGAGTCCCATGATTTCGAGGCATGCTCCATGCAATCCACGCAGGTCGCGGACGTGAACACTTTCAACTGGTGACGTTGATAAAAGCGTTGGTCTTCTTCCTGTTGGCACTCCAGGCTAGAAGAGTGTGCAGTTGTATGCACGGCTGCTCCTGTCTATCTGGAAGGCCAACATAGCAGAAGTAGGACGCAGAGAACCTGTGGATCTTGCAGAGGGCAACAGCTGTGAGCTATGTAGAGCAGTGCAAGGCAGTGCAAGGTTACTGGTCGGACGGATAGTGCACAAAGGAACCTGCAGTTTCCGCTGGCTCTCGGATGGCATCAGACAATTAGGACAGCGCAGGTAGCTGGAAGGTCTACCTTGGTCTACCCGCTCCGAGACGTGGACTGCGCGTGCAGCGGTAAAATTAAAAGCGGCCCTACTTCTAAGCACAGGGGTCTGTGTGTGCCGCTCATGCTGGCCAAATAGTTGTGTTGGACTTGTCTGACCAAGCTAGCCATTGAGTGAATGACTCAGTTGACTGAGCACGGGTTCTCGAAGGTTGCTACAAACACACCTGATAACCAGCACAGCCAAAGAAGCTGAAGGGTCAAAAGAGCCTGAAAAAGCTTTCCAAAATCATTCCCGCACGCGGCTCAAAGCATTCTTGTACGTTCGAGTTGCCAAGACGAGCTTCGCTTGCAGCGCAAACGGAGGTGGGGCCGGTTGTGATCGCTGATGTGGATTTGATTCCGGCCTTTTGTAAGGCTTTGGTCAGGGTGTAGTGTTGAAGACGTGTAGGCCCCTCCACTGATAAACTCTTTGTGAAGTCTGGTCCCTTCATCGAAGGTTGGAGTTCGATGGAGGATTTCGGGATGTTCCAGAGGATGTTAGAGAGAGAATGACAGGCCCGTCTCACCCCCTCTCATGGCCCCTCCCGATGCGCAGACTACGTGCGGGTCCAAGCAAGCGAAGGGATGAAGGGCAACGGAGACAGGAAGCCGACGTATGTTAATCTGTTAGTGGCTCTTAGTGCGTCATCAAAGCTGAACCCCGAAAGCTTTGGTGCCCTGAACCTGGAACTTGGGGGGGCTTGCCCTTGTTGCACTGGACTCCCTCGCGTTCTGACAAGCACTGCAGCCTTTGGGAGGCAGTTGAGAGATGGCGAAGCAAGTTCAGGCACTGCCGACATGAAAGGATTGTCAGAAGCAACTTCATGTTCTTTATAGCCATCGGGACCCTTCCCTCAAGCCTTGAAGTGCCGGGGGGGGAGGGAGGAAGGGACGGGGCCAGGTGCGCCGTTGCCTGCGCTTCGCTCTGCCGCTGGCACTGCTCACAGCGCTGGGGCTGGCCAGGACTGTCGGGACCTACGAGAAGTGTGACCATGTTTGCTTCGTTCGGCTCGAGGGCGTGGCTCGCACAAAGCCTGCTGAGAATTTTTGAGGTTTGAACTTGCAACTGGGATGAAAACGCCTTACAGAGGTGAGAGGTTGTGACTGCATGTGTCATGCACGGACAGATGTTCAATTTTTGCATGTTTGTGGGATAAGTTCTGGACGTCGAGAGACATAGAACTCGCGGGTACGCGCACACGGGTAAGCATTGGGCGGACCCCTTTGCGGGGGAGCATGCTTAGGGCTCGGGGTTGTGGGGGTGTGGGACTTTGAGACAGGTCCTCGGCTGTTTGCCCTTTAGAGGGTTCAGGCTTCGGGGTCTTGGGGTGTGCCATCACGCAAGGGGGAGATCCTTCATAGACCAGGCCAAAGGCTTTTAAGAGCCGCGCCCCCTAGCATCACGGGGAAAGAGATCCTCGCTTACTCAGTGGACTCTCTACCGCTCCATGGGAGGCTTTTGGTTGCAGAGTTTCGTGTCGCGTTGGCCCTGAAATTCAATCCGTGGCTTGGAGCCCTGAACCTACCAAAGCCCAAGACACTCCTTGAATCCTTCTCGCTACTAGCCCAACTAGCCCCACCTTTGAGGAGCTACACAGCAATCCAAGGCCAGGCCACGGATCGGTTCACAGGTTGAAGCTTTCGGGTTGAGGGTCACTGGCATTCCCGAACAGACCTCACTTGCGCGCTGCAATCTTGGCAGTTTCGGGCCCTCTGAGGACGTTCAGCAGACCTATGTAGGTCCTGCTCAGACGCTCTGTTCGTGTTGCACAAGCCTGGTCTAGGACGCCTCTAAAGACATTGCCCGCTTCCTAAGAGCACGCACCCTGGAGTACAGAGACCTGCTGCGGCTCAGGAGTGAACAGGAGAAGCCCGGTCAAGGCCCTTGTGGGGCATCGGTCGCAGGGTGCTTGATTGCTTGATGACAGAGAATGTGGTACTGCGCAGAGGGAACCTCGCATCATGGGAGCTGGAGTTGTTTTCTATGGTTCGGTTGCCAACATTGATGAACACGATTAGAGTTGCTTCGGTCGGCGTTTGCTGCCGCATGAGCCGATTGGTTGATTGCGAGACTTCAAGGACTGCGCTCTCGACGCAGCAAATACATGAAAAATGGTAGTCGGGTGGCATTCAAGGAGACCGATGTCCTGTAAAGGCTCCAGGTATGCCCCGCCGAACTAGGGGAGCTGGTAGTGCACATGAACCTCGGTTCACGTGGGCCTCTAACCAGACCATACCCCATGAAGTGCACCACACGGAAGGGCGCGACGGCTGCAGCACCCGAGGCCACTCTGGGATGAGGGGAAAGCAGCGTGAAAGCTGCTTCTCGAGTCGATCTATACATCACCATGGAAGATGTCTCACAAGTCTGTATTGCAGCTTCTTGTCTTCATGGCCAGAAGCCTCTGAAACCAGTCTTTGGGCCCGGGTGTTTGGCCGGTAGGAGCGTTGGGCATGATCACGGTTGCGCCTCTGTCTCTGGTGCGGACACGGCAAGAACATCTGAACAGGTGGCGGTGGAATGGGTCAATGGCCTTTTCGAGGACTCCGATTTTCTGTTGCTATCAGTCCTGAGGAACGATTTCACAGACCGCCAAAGAATAAAGGGCATTCATCCCACCATTGGCCCACTGGTACGCCAAAACTGCACCTGCTGTCTTTCTGCTTCGTTAAGATGGCTCAGGTGCCGTGCTGAGGCACGACAAGCCTTTGGAGTTAAAGCCTCGCGAGGCTCCTTGAAACTGCCTCCGAACCACGCGCTCACTCGCCAAAACTCGCCTGGAAAGACGCACATTCGCAAGAAAATGATGCATGCCACAACACAGAGAAAAGAGCAATGCCCATGATGCAGCCTGAGCGCTTGCATCCCAGGCAAGCTGTCAAAACGCACCTAGAACCACTTCAAGTCTCCGACCCAAAACCCTGAACGAGCCCTAAACCCCTTCAAGCCACTGAAACCTCCTCAAATTCCCCGATGTAGCACAAGTAAGGTCGCAAGTAGCAATCCACGCGCGACAGCCCTTCCACTCGAAAGCCGCACTCCAGCAGTCCTTAAGTGCTCAAACTTCAAAAGGCCCCGGCCACCTAAGCCCGAAGCTTTTGTGGAGTGAGGAGGGTTGCTGGATGTTGCTGGACTATGCTGGACTTGGAAGCGTACCGCAGGTATGTTCAACCTTCACCACCAATGTTTCTTCAACCCCTAAACGTTTAGGACCCCCAAGAAACGACCCTCAACAACGCTAAAGCCTCTCGACGCCTGCTTCTCAAATTCTCGGCAGGATGGCAGCTCACGGCAGCGGCTGGCCTTGCAGGAAGCCGCGAGGTCCGCCCTCCCCCCCCCCCCTTCACCGCCTTCTGCTCTCCGTCTTCTCGTGGCTTGCTTCGGCTTTTTGTTTTTCGGGGGGGAGTTTATAGGGCTTTCAGGTTTGAGGGCTGTTCCGGGGTTTTCAATGTGAGGGAACTAACGTGTCATGTGTAGTCAGGTTTTTTGTGTCCAGGGGTTCCTACATGAAAAGGTGATGTTTTGGGGCTTCGGGTTGCAGGTGTGCCAGGGTGTAGGCTTAGACTCAGCACCTGGAACATTTGGGCTGAAGCATAGGACTTTAGGAGGGTTCACGGATAAGGGGGGTTCAGGGTGATGTTTCGGCTTTAGGGATTGGGTGTTCATGTCTCAGGGAGGTTCGGGTGGCTTCTATTTTACGAAGGGAAGGTTGCAGGGTACGCAATTCCATAATCCCCCCCCCCCCAGCGTGCTGGCGGGAGGCTGCTCATGACCATCGCACCCATCGTGAGCCCACGACTCAAACAAGCCGCTGCTGCTTTGAATCTGAAGTTTTGGGTTTTGGTGCTGCGCTTGTAGAGGCCGAGACTTGCACTGCACCACACACGATCCGTCGGACTGCTGTTGCTTGTCAGTTCACAAACGATCAGGATCACTGACGCACGCACGACCCTTGAGACTGCCAGTCGGGTAGCCCCGTGTGGCTGAGTGGTCACAGGTCACAGTTCAGTCGTCCACGTTGCAGCGCTTGCAACAGAACGAACGAACGAGTCCTGAGTTACATACGTTTGAGCAGTCTCCGCGCACAAAGTCCAGATCAAGGCGGCAACTTGCAGCTTGCTGGCCGATTTAGCCAAATCCTTTCGTTTTTTGAGGCCTGGCAGATCAAACTGGAGACTCCGTGGCTGGGCTGTCAAGCATCGCGGACGCCCTGGAT